TCTCTTCAAAAACCTTGGTGTGGATATGAAAGAAGTAAAACCAACATCTCTGCTCAAAGATCGAGTTCGAGAAGTGGAAGGCAACCCTGATTTTTCTAATAAAGATATTGGGGCATCCCAGCCACAATTGGTTACTGAAATCAACACTGGAATTATGTGTACATTAAATCAGGTTGAATTACAGCCTGAAATATCCAATTCATCTCAATCTGGTGGTCAGTTAAATCTATTGTCTCAGGTTTGTAATGGTCTATGATTCCATGCTTTCTAGCCTTAGTTGGTTCCCATTTTGTTGTGTTAATTTAATCTTGTGGCTTCAGTATACCGGGAATCTTCATTTTGTGTCTGGTCCATTAATGGAGGATGAAAAGATGGCAACCTTAAGCCTCTCTGACCAGCTTCCTTCTGGACAAAGGCTTTCTCTAGTACCTCCATCACAATCACCATATTCTGTTGGTCAGGTGTGTATGCCTCCATATTTCTCTTTGCAGTTTAAACAATTTAATATTTACTATGCTCTAGTAATAAGATATGTTCTGTGGGGCAGCTGTCTTCACCTATCTGTGATATCGGAAGCCATATTATTTTCAACCAAAAACTCAGTGCTATGGGCTTGCAATATTTTCAGAGGTTTGCATTTCTCTTTGTTTGTCTAAGTTATGCAACCATCTTTCCCACTCTAGATCTTAACGCAGTTGGTATAACAGAATTGTTCCCCTTGCCATGGAGAGGGCTATAAAGGAGGTAATGGCTCCGGTTGTTCAACGCAGTGTAACCATAGCTATTCAGACAACAAAGGAACTTGTTTTGAAGGTTAGTATTGCCATTTTCTTTTTTCATTCTTAGTGGTCAATATTCTTCACTATTGAGCTGTAATGTTATCATTTTGTTTAATCTACATCCTAGGATTATGCCATGGAGTCTGATGAAACCTGTATATACAATGCTGCCCACTTGATGGTAGCGAGTCTAGCTGGAAGTTTGGCCCATGTCACATGCAAGGTGTTTTTAATCTGTCATCCTAATTCTTTGGTCATTATGTAATTATTACATTAATTTTTTTTCTTGTCTATTACATCTTTTATTGTTTCGTTTTTTTGGAATACTAATCTGTAAAGTAGCTAATGGTGGGTCTACAAACCCAGAAAAAATAATCAGAAAATCACTCAGAGTTTCCAATCAAGATTTATTCATACGATGGGCCCACAACAACAACATTAAATATACACCTATTCTGAGCACTTTTCTGGTTAATTTTTCTGTGACAATAGACTTTCTGAATATATTATTGTTTTCTTCTAAATAAGACCATCTCCGGTTATATTACTACTGGCAGGAACCTCTTCGTGTCTCCATATCAAGCCAACTGAGGAATTCATTGCAGGGATTCAACATCACCAATGAAGCTCAAGAAGAAGCCGTTGCTATTGTTTTAAATGATAACCTTGACCTTGGTTGTGCAGTGATTGAGCATGCTGCAACAGACAATGTATGTTTCCACGCATCAATGATATTTCATATTCCCTTGCCTTCCTGTACATATGCGAACAAGTAAGTGTATGGTAATGTCACTGTCATTAGGATTATCATTGAAGGGTAGAACTTTTTTTTTTTTGGTAATTTTGTTCAAATGTTTAAGAGTATCATATTTCATAAATCATCATGAAGTAAATTAAGAAATGCAGTAGACTTATATCAAAGCTTGACATTGAGCCCCTATATTTTTAGTGTTACTTATGGATGCACTTTTCAGAAATTTTGTGCTTGGGTGACTTAGATCCGTGGTGAATGTTGGAAAAGAGATAGCTTTAGCTATTCAATCAAGAGTGAAATTTTCAAATGAATTCTAGAGTGTTTTAATTTGGAGGTTTAGGATACCCAATCTCAAGTTATAACTAACACAATGTAGCTGTGATTTACCATGCATTATACTTGTAGAAATTTAATGTATAAAGAGAAATAGAGAATTGTATAGATATTGATTGTATTATTGATTGATGTATGTTATTTATTACAAATGGTGAGGGGCTCCTTATATAGGAGATGTAGTGGAGTAGGTGGTAGTGGTAGGTGTGTAGTAGGTGGTAGTAGGTGGTGGTAGGTGTAGTAGGTGGAGTAGGTGATGGTAGGTTTTAACAGCCCCCCGCAAACTCAAGGGGGATAGGAACTAACCAACTTGAGTTTGGAGAGAGTAACAAAACAAGAAAATAATCTGAAAAATAAAAAATGGATAGGAGACACTGTATGGTTGTGTCAGACTGTTGTAGAAGACTGTATGGTTATGGCAGACCGAAGTAGAAGACACTGGCTCGTGTTGGACCGATGTAGAAGACAGTTTATGGGGTCATGTCGGACCGTTGTAGCAGACAATGTTGTGACAGTTGTTGTGACAGTTTACGGAGTCTTGCTGGACCCTTGTAGAAACTAACCGGAATCAATGTCGGGACAGTTTACAGAGTCTTGTAGTGGAGTAGGTGGTAGTGGTAGGTGAGTGGCTCCTTATATAGGAGATGTAGTGGAGTAGGTGGTAGTGGTAGGTGAGTGGCTCCTTATATAGGAGATGTAGTGGAGTAGTTTATTACAAATGGTGAGGGGCTCCTTATATAGGAGATGTAGTGGAGTAGGTGGTAGTAGGTGGTAGTGGTAGGTGTGTAGTAGGTGGTAGTAGGTGGTGGTAGGTGTAGTAGGTGGAGTAGGTGATGGTAGGTTTTAACAATACTCATATGGTTTAGGTAGTTAAACTTGATATTAATGAGGAACTTTACTGCTTGTGCATTGCTGAGATATATTTAACCAATCTTTTTTCCAAGACTAGATGTCTTAGACATGAAGATAAATTGGTAATCAATTTTCTTTCTACACATTGTATCGCAGTTCGAGCTTGGCCTTGAGTGGTTTTCTATAATGCATTCTGAATGCTTTTCAGGCATTGAAGACCATCGATAATGAAATCACTATACAACTTTCACTTAGAAGGAAGCATAGAGAAGGTGTTGGTCCGTCATATTATAATGCAAGTATGTATACACAAGGTCCTATGGGTGTAATACCAGAGGCCCTCCGCCCCAGACCTGGTCACCTCTCCCATTCTCAGCAGCGAGTTTATGAGGTAGTGTTTTTGACGTTATGCATGGAAAATTTATGTGTGCTGATTCAAACTATAGCTATTGTTGCACTATTACTTTATCCTTTCCGGTTGTTTAGGATTTCATTCGATTTCCTTGGCAAAATCAGTCCAGTCAGAGTTCAAATAAAGTTCCTACTGATGTGATGGTTTCGTCTAGTGATTATGTTGGTACTGGTGTGTCTTGTGCTTGTGTTTCACCTACCAGACAGCTTAACCCAGCACTCTACTCTTCTGGGCTCAGGAGTGTGGGTCTGAGCTCTGTTGCTCAGCCCGTATATCTTATTTCTGAGGAGTTGGACCCTGGTTCTACCCAGCTTATTGGGTGAGTTATTTCATTTCTTTCCTTTTTAAGGGTCTTGTTTACTTGTGCACATGTTAAGTTGGCTTAATAAGATTGTACATTCTTTGTAGCATGTACTTTCATGCAGGATGTACAGCACTTTTAAGCTTCTTAACATGTCCCCAAAGGGCACATGTTAACAAAATCCCTTTTTAAAATTAATCGTATAATAATTGTTTCAGCTCTTATATCAGTTTTTTATTTGCTTATCCATTCTTTTGTTCTTGTTACAGTGGTTCCTCCACTCTCATGGGGGCAACTGATGGTGTAGTTTCACATGGTGCTAAATCTAACAATGTTGCTTCACTTTCTTCAGCAGCGACAGCCCCTGAACAGCATTTTTTAGAGACCTCTAATGCTGTGAAAGTCAGTAGAAATTTTGTTGTTTGTGATGGTTTACTATTATTATTTTTTGATTTTGCACATGCAAGTGTACATGTGCATTATGCAGGTTAACATTGAAGTTTCTGTTTGGACTGACGTGCATATCCACTGTTTGGTGCAAGGAATTGGAAGGGGCTGTTCCACCATTGACTGAAACTTCTACCACAGAGCACATGGCTAGTGGCATTTCAGAACATTTATTTACCACTGGAGATGCACTAGAGAAGTATCAAATTGTTGCACAGAAGGTAGTTTATTTCCTTGGTTAAAGAAAACATGCGTGCGTGCAGACATACAGAAAAGAAATCTAGCTAGGGGTCTGCCGGTTGCAATTACTATGAAATAACTCAGAGATCAATGCACATCGCAGTTACAATCCAAAGAATTAAGTAGCTTCTGTTTTTTTGTGTTTTAGTTTTTCCAATTCCATCACATATGGATAATGAAAAATAATTTAGACATTAGTTTTTTTTTTTTTAATGTCACTTATTTTCTTATTTATTTATTCTATTTCATTTTCTCTTTGCTCTTTATCTATTTATCTACTGGCTTTTGTTTTTCTCTTCATTACTTTCCCTATTAAATTCTGTATCATATCAAAAGTTATTAATCATTTGGTGCCTCTTTTTTAGTTGGAAATGTTGATAACCGAAGACACTGAGGAGACAGAAATTCAGGTAATAATTATTTTATAATGCCACTTAGTTAGCCTTGAATCATTCTTTTGCAAAATATACTGGCAGCTACTTTGCCAAGACTTTCATGTGGACCCTTGTTTTTGCCCTTTTCTGCCTTCCATTTGAGGTGACTATAAACATGAATCTGAAGGTGAACACCAGGAATATTACTTGATTTGGGTTTGCATTTTTTGTGTACAGGGACTTATTGCCCAAATTCCCGAAATCATGCTGAAATGCATAAGCAGAGATGAAGCTGCATTGGCTGTGGGCCAAAAGGTTTGCTGTCATCATGCTGTAAAATTCTAGAAGAGTACATTCTCTTGTCTAATTTTGCAATATGTTGTTGGAACAGGTTTTTAGGAGTTTATATGAGAAAGCTTCAAGCAGTTCACATGTTAGTGCTCATATTGCAATCCTGGCTTCTATTCGAGATGTATGCAAGCTAGTTGTTAAGGAGCTCACAAGTTGGGTATGTTGTTTCCAAAATCGTTATGCAAAGATGAGATGTGTTTTGTTCTTATTGTGAAATGATTGTAATTTGTGTCATTTGTTTAAATTATATTTTGTATCCATCAAGCCTTTTTCCCCTCAGTAAGATACTACTATGCAGCTGGAACGATATTTTGTACCTGTCACTTCTTATGCATTGCTAAAACTTTAAACCTATTGGCAAGTTCTTATGGAATGATATTTTGTCTCTTTTATTTTGTACCTGTCACTTCTTATACATTGCTGAAAATTCAAACCTATTGGCAAGTTCTTATCTTCATATTTATAGAGGATTAAAATAGTTTGGGCCTTTTCTTATAGCATATGTAGATGAAATCTTTTTTTTGTTCTTTGAATAATTTGTGACTAAATCATTAGAGGCCAGACATTTCTTGTATAATAATGAGCATGTGTAAAGGAGCTATTCTTGAAATGAGAACAATTGCAAGATAAACAAGTGAATTTTCTATAGCTGTGGGCTTACATCAAGGATCAACACTAAGTTCTTATCTTTCAACTTTAGATACTATGTGGGTGTTTGGAAAGTGGGTTTTTATATAGGTTTTTTTAGTTGTAGGATATTATTGGAGAAATTTTTTTTGATGTTTGGGAAGATAGTTGGGTTTTTTTGTGGTTGTGTGTGATGTTTGTGAGAGAAAAAGTGAAATGATTATGGGGTTGGATGTAGGGGTAAATGTTAAATTAGATGCTTGGGAAGGAGCTCTAGAATCAATGACCAATAAAATGAAGTTTGAATACATGGAGCGTAACTTTAATAACATTAGAGATACAGGTAAGCAAGGGGTGCCGCATCGACACCTGGGTGCGGTGAAAAATGAGCAAAGGTTTTCGCGTTTTTCTAGATGAGCGCAGATAAAGAAGCTAGTCTAAGATTATAGATTTAGGGTAGCCACATAGAATATAGGAACTTTAACTGGTAAGACTATGGAATTGATAGATGTCATGATTAGGAGAAAAGTTAGTATGGTTTGTGTACAAGAAACGAAGTGAACGGGTGAGAAATCTTGGGAAATAGAGGATACCGGTTTTAAGCTATATTATAGTGGCAAGGATAGACACATGAATGGAGTAAGAATAATAGTTGCCAAGAATCTTGTAAAAAATGTAGTTGCGGTCATTAGGAAATGTGATAGGATTATGTTAGTTAAACTAGTTATTGGAGAGAATATAGTGAATGCTATTAGTGCAAATGCCCTCCAAGTAGGATTAGATGATTAGACTAAGAGAGTTTTTTGGGAACAAATGGATAAGGTATTACAAGAGGTACCAGTAGGACAGCACCTAGTTATAGGTGGTGATTTCAATGGCCATGTAGGAGTAGATAAACTAGGGTATGAGAGGGTGCATGGTGGGTATGGTTTTGGTGATAGAAATAAGGCTAGAGAGAATATTTTAGATTTTGCGTTGGCTTCTGACCTAGTGGCGGCCAATACTATGTATAAGAAAAGAGAGAAGCATTTAATAACCTTCAAAAGTGGGTCAATTAGGAGCCAAATAGATTACTTTCTAATAAGAAAAGGGGACAGTCTAAAGAAAAGGGGACCATCTAAAATGCAGCAATTGTAAGGTGATTCCTGGAGAGAGCTTGACATTTTAACATAGGATTTTGATACTAGTTTTATGCTTTAAAGGGCAATACTAAACTCGGAAAGATAGTGGGCGCCACAAGACTAGATGGTGGGACCTAAAAGGGGATAAACTAGACACATTTAAGAATAGAATGTACTTAGGACTTGGAAGATGAGGCTAACACTATGTGAAACTCGATGACCAATTGTATGAGGAGAATCTCAAAGAAAGTTCTGGGAGAGTCGAAAGGAAAGGGACACAACTTTAGGAAAACTTGGTGGTGGAGGGAGGAGGTCCAAGCGGTAATAAAGATAAAAAAAGAGAGCTTTAAAAAGTGACAGAATGATAGAACTAAGGAAAACCTTAAGCGCTACAGATTGGCCAATAATGAGGTTAAAAAAGTAGTGAGGGAGACTTAAGTTGAAAGCCTATGATGACTTATACACTAAACTAGATAGTAAGGAGGAAGAGAAGATATACAAACTTGCTAAGATAAAAGAGAGGAAAATAAGAGATTTTAATCAGGTTAAGTGCATCAAGGGTGAGGACTCTAAGGTGTTAGTGAAGGATGAAGAGATAGTGGAAGAACTATTTTGATAAGTTGTTAAATGAGGAACATGGAGGTAGGTCAAAGGAGGAGGAAGTAGGCAATAATAAAGAAAATTAGGACTATAGGTTCTATCATAGGATTAGAGACTTTGAAGTGGAGTTTGCACTTAATAAGATGAAATTGAATAAGGCTTTAGAACCTGATGATATACCTATTGAAGCGTGAAAATGTTGGGATAAGAAGGGAGTTGTTTGGTTAACTAGGTTATTTAGCAAGATTTTGTTGACTAGGAAAATGCCAGAGGAGTGGAGGAAGAGTATTTTAGTGCCAATATATAAAAATAAAGGAGATGTCCAAAATTGTGACAACTATAGAGGAATCAAGTTAATGTGTCACACAATAAAAGTGTAGGAGAGAGTGATGGAATGTTGATTGCGAGATATAATAGAGGTGTCAAAGAATCAATTTGGGTTTATGCCTGGTAGGTCAACAATGGAAGCGATCTATCTTTTGAGGAGAGTAATAGAAAAATATAAAGAAAAGAAAAGAGACATTCATATGGTTTTTATCGATCTTGAGAAAGCATATGATAAAGTATCTCGGGATATAATCTGGTGGGTGCTAGAAAAGAAAGGGGTGACAAAAGGTTACATTGATGTGATTAGGGATATGTATGAAAGTGTTGTGACTACTATTAGATCGCCTACTAGAGAGACGAGTGAATTTTCAATTTCTGGAGGGTTACACCAAGAATCAACCTTAAGGCCTTATTCTTTTGCTTTAGTTATGGATAAGTTGACGCACAAATATTCAAGATGATGTGCCATGGTGTATGCTTTTTCCAGATGATATCGTGTTAGTGGATGAGACTAGAGAATGAGTTAGCACTAAGTTGGAGATTTGGAAAAAAACACTTGCATCTAAAGGATTTACGATAAGCAGAACTAAGACAGAGTATATGGAGTGTAATTTTAGTAACAGTCACGATGAAAGTGAAGATTGAGAACCAAGAACTACCTAAGAGTGAATATTTTCATTATTTAGGATCGATTATCACGACGACTGAGAAGATTGGAGCAGATGTGGTCCACATAATTAAGGCGGGAGTGGCTTAAGTGGAGGAGTGTGTCTGGAGTACTATGCGATAACGAATACCCATTAGACTAAAAAGTGTAGGTTTAGAGAAGAGAAAAAGATAGGGAATTAGTGAGACCTCATCCCCTTTTATATTGATAATAATGAGTAATTACAGGAGTGCCATCGGGCATAAATTATGGGCTAACCCATTACATCAATCAAGGGAAAATAAAATAAAATTAGAATAAAATAAATGCAATATTATTTCCTATTCTAACACTCCCCCTTAAGCTGGTGCAAAGATATCTCTCATGCTCAGCTTGTTGAGAATGTCATGAAATGGTTTGCTCCCTATTCCTTTGGTGAGAACATCTGCTGGTTGGCCCTCAGTCTTCACAAATGGAGTACATATGGTGCCACTAGTGAGCTTTTCCTTGACGAAGTACTTATCAATCTCTACATGCTTGATTCTGCCATGTTGCATTGAATTATGAGCTATGTTAATCGCCGCCTTGTTGTCACAGTATAATCTCATGGAATCGGTGTGATGGATCCCCAAGTCTCTCAATAATAGTCTAATCTATAGCAACTCACATACACCCTAAGCTATAGTCCTGAATTCTGCCTCAGCAGTAGATCTAGCAACCACATTCTGTTTCTTATTTTGCCACGGTGATTAAGTTGCCTCCAATAAATGTACAATAGCTAGAAGTTGATCGTCTGTTAATGACTGATCCAACCCAATCTGTATCAGTAAATGCCTTTACACTAAGATGTCCATATTTTGAGAAATAGAGACCCTTTCCAGGAGAAGATTTCAGATACCTCAGGATTCTCATAACTGCCTCTAAGTAGGAATTTCTAGGGGCATGCATAAACCGGCTAACCATGCTCACTGCAATGGCAATGTCTAGATGCGAGTGAGATAAGTATATGAGCTTACCCACTAGCCTCTGGTATCTCCCCCTGTCCACTAGCTCCCCCCCTTGATCCTCACTTAGTTTCTGGCCTGATTCTCAAGGTGTATCACATGGTCTACCTCCAAGCATTCCAGTATCCTTTAGCAAGTCAAGTACATACTTCCTCTGACATATGAAGATGCCATCCTTGGACCGAACTACTTCAACGCCCAAAAAATACTTCAAATTACCCAAGTCTTTGATTTCAAACTCCTTGGCTAAGTATTCCTTCAACCGAGGAATCTCCTCAACATCATTTCCTGTCAAAACAATATCATTAAGATAAATAATAAGAGCTGTGGCCTTACCATGTGAGGAGTGTTTCACAAATAAAGTGTGCTCAGCTTGACTTTGCTTGAACCCATATCTCAGCATAACTTGAGCAAACCTTTCAAACCAAGCCCTAGGAGACTAAATTAGCTCATAAAGTGACTTCCGGAGCCTGAAAGATAGTAGTATTCTCACAGAGTTCATCTTAGCAACCGGTGCAAATGTCTCCTCATAATCTACCCCATAAGTTTGAGTGAAGCTCTTAGCAACCAGTCTTGCTTTGTAGCGTTCTATGGTACCGTCTGCTTTGTGTTTTACAGTGTACACCCACTTACACCTAATTGGATTTTTGCTTCTAGGTAACTCCACTAACTTCCAAGTGCCATTCTTGCTAAGAGCTCTCATCTCCTCTGTCATGGCATGTTTCCATTCAGGAATAGAGAGAGCATCCTGAGAATTGTTAGACAGACTCACAGAAGAAATCTTAGACAGAAAGGCTTTATATAAGGAAGACAGATTAGAATAAGAGACATG